AGCATCTAACCTACTTTACAGTGGTTTGTTGGAAATCTTATTTATGTTCCTGAGGATGTGTGTAAAACATAACATTCAAATTGAGTCCTGTCCTCCTTTCCTATAATCCCCAGCCTCATATTAGTGTGAAGTTAAGGAGAGTGGCCCCTTAGAGTGACTTCTCAGACTGTCTGTAAGCAGCTGGCTTCCCTAAAGGGAGGGGGGCTTTTGGGTGCTGAAGCTTTGGTGTAGGCACCAGATCCTACTTGCTACAGTGCTAGAGCCCAGCCCACCTCTTAGATCACTCAGGGTTTAATTTCCTTACATCCTACAGAGTAACTGGAATGAGATTGTTGACAGCTTTGATGACATGAACCTCTCGGAATCCCTCCTCCGTGGTATCTACGCCTATGGTTTTGAGAAGCCTTCTGCCATCCAGCAGCGAGCCATTCTTCCTTGTATCAAGGGTGAGACCTTTCAGCCCCAGAAGAGATTCTGGACTGTCCCAGCCCTGGGTAGAGTGGCATCTGGTTGGTGGTGCCCATCTCATATCATCCAGGGACAAAGCAACCCCTTGTTTATCCGAACTTGGCTTTTGGTCTGTGCCTATGCCTGGTTCATGCCTTGGTCACATGAATTGCTAGTTTTCCTTTAATAAGTAGTATTGTAGCCAGCTTGCGCTTGGTTTTATAGCTTTATTTCTGTCTCAACTTGGTATAATACTAAATGAATTAATAATATGTTTTTATTTCCTGATTTGTTTTCATTGTGTAACTATGGTGATTGGTGAAGTAAAGTTTCTGAAGCATGCTAAATCTGTAATGTTGGTTTCTTATGGATATCACTAAGGCTTGAATGTCCCATGAGCCCACAGTATATACACTGTACCACATTTAACTTATTCTATTTTTCTGTTTAGGTTATGATGTGATCGCTCAAGCCCAATCTGGGACTGGGAAAACAGCCACATTTGCTATATCGATTCTGCAGCAGATCGAGTTGGATCTCAAGGCCACCCAGGCCTTGGTCCTAGCACCCACTCGAGAATTGGCTCAGCAGGTAAGAATGTGGCTTTTCCCTCCTGAAGGGATGATAAGCACAACTAAAAGGGAAGTCAACTCCTCCCACTTTAGAGGAAGAAGAGATAGGTGCTCCTTACTAAGGGAAATGAGTTAATGACTTCTAGCTCTCTCAAGACTTGTTGGGTTAATTATAAGCCATTTCTTACCCAAACATAGCCACCACTTCTCCACCCATTTCCTGCATCAAATGGGAAGGCTATTGGGTGGAGCCTGGCCGGCTAGGCAAGTTTGGTGGCTGCTTTATGTACAAACCCCCTGGCAATGGGCAAAGAGACACCTCATTGGTGGTGTTGCTCTTATATCAGTCAGGGGCAGAGCAGACTGACAGTCCTTTGTTCATCCTAGCTTGATGCCTGGGTTGGTGGCCAGAGCTGTTTCATGCCTGGGGCACATAAAATTCTAATGCTGGATTCCCATTTTCTTTCTGAGTCTTAGAGGGGAAAGAATCACAAACACTAGTTTCATAAATACTTACTGAGGCTCAGGTAATATTTTTAAATGTTTGGCAGATGTAGTGATTTTTCTGGACATAGGTAACGTAGTAAGCAAGAAGTTACATCATAACCAAAGCATGCTTTTTTAAGTGTGGACATTGCTACCTAGCTTGGGTTCTGTGGCAGGGGTGCAATAGGACGTGCGTATGTGTCATCCAGTTCATAAAACTGGTTTCTGTGAAATGAAATAAACAGATCACAACCGGCTTTCAATAAAGTTAAGGATTCTGTCTAGAATGGGAAACTATTAAAATTATTTCAGGGAGGCATTGTGAATCAGTGTACACTGAGAAACCAGACTGGGTTTGAGTCCTGTCTTTGCTGTTTATTGGCAGAATGATCATAAGTGAGTTATTTAATCTCTGCCTGTTTTTCACCTGGAGAGTAAGTTTAATAATAGTGCATATCTCAAAGTAGTTGAAAATAACAAATATATAGGAAGCTTTAAAAATGAGGCCTGGACAGTTCTAGCCAATATGTGAACCCCTGTCTTCTCTGGGCTCAGATACAGAAGGTGGTCATGGCATTAGGAGACTACATGGGTGCTTCCTGTCATGCCTGTATTGGGGGCACCAATGTGCGTGCTGAGGTGCAGAAACTGCAAATGGAAGCTCCCCATATCATCGTGGGTACCCCTGGCCGAGTGTTTGACATGCTTAACCGGAGATACCTGTGTAAGTAACTTAATTTTCCAGCCCTCTGGGTCACTTCCCTCTCATGCATGCTTTCCTAGTCTTGTAGCTTAAGCCAATGCCATTCCCAAGGATGCTAGTTTCCCCTTCACTGAGAGTTGCTCTGTGATGAACCCCATGCGTGTCATCTGAGTCTGGCTTCCCTGTCGTCTCAGCCCAGGTAGTGTTCTACTTCCCAGGGCTGTTGTCTGGCCTGGCAGGGAGGTCCTGGGCAAAGGATCAGTCTCTGTATTCTGAGAGCAGACCACCTGTCCCCTCTATATTCTTTATCAAGAAAGAATATGTTTCACATTTCCCTTATTACTATATATGTTGGTGGTTTTTTTTCTAATCTAGCTCCCAAATACATCAAGATGTTTGTACTGGATGAAGCCGATGAAATGTTAAGCCGTGGATTCAAGGACCAGATCTATGACATATTCCAAAAGCTCAACAGCAACACCCAGGTGAGAAAGACAGCTTTTTTTTTTGTATAGCAGTGGTTCTAGATGATGGTGTAGTTGGGGCAAAGAACAGTATCAAGTACCAGAGGAACCATACAGAATTCTAGATCTTCACCCTCACTTTAAACCTTATTCTGCTTCTACTTCGGTTTTAGGTATACAAGGGAAGGGGGGCAGGCACCCATAAAGCTGACTGTTTTTTCCATTAGGTGGTTTTGTTGTCAGCTACAATGCCTTCTGATGTGCTCGAGGTGACCAAGAAGTTCATGAGGGACCCCATCCGGATTCTTGTCAAGAAGGAAGAGTTGACCCTGGAGGGTATCCGCCAATTCTACATCAATGTGGAACGAGAGGTGGGGCCCAGTGCAGGAGGCGGGCCTGGCAGTAAGTTGTTGGGTATAGCCCCTGACTGATCCCCCCCCCACCTCCAGGAGTGGAAGCTGGACACGCTGTGTGACTTGTATGAAACCCTGACCATCACCCAGGCAGTCATCTTCATCAACACCCGAAGGAAGGTCGATTGGCTCACTGAGAAGATGCATGCCCGAGATTTCACTGTTTCTGCCATGGTGAATTTTCTCCCTTGTTACCGGCTCACTGTCAGTCAGAGGCCTGTCTAAAGCCAGTTTCGCTGATGCTCATTTCCCTACCTGGTACATCTTTTCTAGCATGGAGATATGGACCAAAAAGAACGAGATGTGATCATGAGGGAGTTCCGTTCTGGCTCTAGCCGAGTATTGATTACCACTGACCTGCTGGTGAGTAGAGGGGAATTTAGAGCAAACAGGAAAGGAAGAAGGGAGAATCCAAGGTGATTCCCTCTCCAAGGGGCCAGCTAGTGCCTCTCTCAGGAAAGTAGCAACTTGGAATAAAATCAGGCATGCCTAAGGTCTTCGGGGGACAGAGGATACTTGTTTCCTTTGCCTTTCCTTGGCCGCCTACATGTATACCCTAAGTCCCCTTGGGGTAGATTTTGTCTTATTCACATGCTGATGTCGTTGTCATTCTTGCCATAGGCCAGAGGCATTGACGTGCAGCAGGTTTCATTAGTCATCAACTATGACCTTCCTACCAACAGGGAAAACTATATTCACAGGTAAGCATAGATCTGGAACACATGCCCAACCTCTGGCTGAAGCTCTTGGTGTTCCTTATCCTCATCCTTATCCTGTTTTTCAGAATTGGTCGTGGTGGACGGTTTGGCCGTAAGGGTGTGGCTATTAACATGGTGACAGAAGAAGACAAGAGGACTCTTCGAGACATCGAGACCTTCTACAACACCTCCATTGAGGAGATGCCCCTCAATGTTGCTGACCTCATCTGAGAGGGGCTGTCCTGCTACCTAGCCCCAGCTAGGGTTCAATCTTGGGGGGCTGAGGAGCAGCAGGAGGGGGGAGGGAAGGGAGCCAAGGGATGGACATCTTGTCATTTTTTTTTTTTCTTTGAATAAATGTCACTTTTTGAGGCAAAAGAAGGAACCGTGAACATTTTAGACACCCTTTTCTTTGGGGTAGGCTCTTGCCCCAGGCGCCGTCTCTGCTCCCAAAAAACACTAATCCGTTTCCCTAACCTAGTCACCTCCAGATCCCAGAGGCTCTCCCTGCCCCAGCCAAATTCCTTTGAAAATGATTCAAGGGGCTATATGTCACCCAACCTCATTTGCTGGACCAAATCTGGAGGCAGAACCCCTGAAACCCCCAAGTGAGGTCCAGGGGATTGTCCCCAGGTGGGGGGAGCAGGGGAGAGAAAATGGTAGCCATTTTTACATTGTTTTGTATAGTATTTATTGATTCAGGAAACAAACACAAAATTCTGAATAAAATGACTTGGAAACTGCCTGTTTGGGCTTCTCATTTCTTAACCTCCCCTTCCCTCTCCCACCTGCTTACTGGGTACATGTCAGCTCCCCCTTCACCAGCTAATAACTTGGCTGTGTTGCTTCCTTCTGAATACCGTTGAAGTTATAGACGATCCCTCTCCTCTGTTCCCCCAGGACCTGCAGCCCTGAGAAGTAAAGTGAACAGGCAGGAGAGTGACCCCATGGAGGGGTCGGGTGTGCACTGTCATAAGTGCCTCACGTGCCTGGGCTAAGAGGAACTGATGGGTGGGAGAGTAAAGAGGTCAAGGGGAATGGGAGTGGAGATGAACTGTTTCTAATTCCTGCTGAGCTCACTTCCTGGGAGGCCACTGAGGGAGGGCCCTGCTGGTTCTCAGCTGGCCTTATAAACTGCCTGCCACAGCTTCTGAGCAAGTTCTGCTGAGACAGACAAATGAGTCCCCATGGATCAACTGCCCCAGAACTCTCCATCTCATTCTGTGTCCACGTGATATTCTTGACTTTGCCCTGACTGACAGTTCCCGCTTACAAAGCTGGGGCCAATAGTCCCCTCACTTAATTACGAAGATGAATGACTAAGAGGTTGGTGGCTGGAGCTGAGGTGCCTGAGTCAGGTTGGGGGTGGGATTGTTCAGTAACAGGAAGTAGAAGTCTTTCGTTTCCTCCTTTCTGAGAGGGAGAAGGCTGAGGGAATAGGGTTGAGCAACTGGTCCTCACAGCCTAGCTGGACTCTGGGTGAGGCGGTCCTGCCATGAGGCTGGCTGTGATTTTCTCCGGGGCCTTGCTGGGGCTACTAGCAGGTAAGGAGAAAGGGGGCTGGAGGGAGGGAGCCTCCGGGAAGGAGCCTGTCCCTGGGTTACTTACTAACCAGTCTCTCTCACCTCTGTTGAAAGCCCAGGGGACAGGGAATGATTATCCTCATAAAAAATCAGCTACTCTGCTTCCATCCTTCACGGTGACACCAACAGCTACAGAAAGCACTACAAGCCCTGGAACAACCAGCCACAGGACTACCAAGAGCCACAAAACTACCACTCACAGAGCCACCACCAAGGGACCCACAACTGCCACTCACAATCCTGCCACCACCACCAGTCATGGAAATGTCACAGTTCATCCCACAAGCAACAGCACTGCTACCAGCCAGGGACCCACAACTGCTGCCACTCACAATCCTACCACCACCAGTCATGGAAATGCCACAGTTCATCCCACAAGCAACAGTACTGCCACCAGCCCGGGACTGTCCACCAGTTCCCCCCACCCAGGACCACCTCCACCCCCTCCAAGCCCTAGCCCGGGCTCCCAGGAGGCTATTGGAAACTACACATGGACTAACGGTTCCCAGCCCTGTGTCCAGCTCCACGCCCAGATTCAGATTCGAGTCCTGTACCCAACCCAGGGAGGAGGAGAGGTAAAGCTAAACCACAGCAGGGGATGTGACGGGAAGGAAGGGACTTGCTATGGTTTAGAGGGAGGAAGGAAGAGTAGTGGCCATGTAGTCTCGTGATCCTCTATCTTTAACTTCCACAGGCCTGGGGCATCTCTGTACTGAACCCCAACAAAACCAAGGCCGAGGGGGACTGTGAGGGTCCTCACCCCCACCTGCTTCTCTCGTTCCCCTACGGACAGCTCAGCTTTGGATTCCAGCAGGTATAGCTCAGAGACTTCACCCTCATCCCTCATGTGCCCTTCCCAATGCCCCATCCCTATAATCCTCACTGCACTCCCCCTGCTGCCCCGAGCCTTTCTGTTCCCCCAGGACCCACAGCAGAGCACTGTCTACCTGAGCTACATGGCTGTGGAGTACAATGTGTCCTTCCCCAAGGCAGCACGTGAGTAACCTTCCTCTTTGCTAACACTAGATGCCAGGGCTCCTGATGGGACTAGGCTGGGGTGGGAAGGTGGACAGGACCTGACCCTTCCTCACTCCTTCAGAGTGGACATTCTCAGCTCAGAATTCATCCCTTCGAGATCTCCAAGCACCCCTGGGCTGGAGCTTCAGTTGCAGAAACTCAAGCATCATGCTTTCACCAGCCTTCCACCTCGACCTGCTCTCCCTGAGGCTACAGGCTGCTCAGCTGCCCCACACAGGGGTCTTTGGGCCAAGTAAGACCTACCTCCTCTTTCCCTCCCACAATTCTCCCACCGCACTGAAATCCCCTTCCCCAGACCTATAAGCCAGTCATCTCCCTCCTTAAGCCCCCAAATTTCCTCCCTCTCTCAGGCTTGTCATGCCTATAGGGCAATGTCTCCTCCTCTGCAGGACTCTGCTCATTTTCCTCTTTTACTTACTGCCAAGTCTTCATGGTGAGCTCCTCACCAGTCTCCTACTCCCCAACGTCCCCCACATCCCTCCTTCCTCCTAACTTTATCCCAGCCACCATGCTGCAATGCCCACTTGCCCCATCCTTCTGCCAGGTTTCTCTTGCCCCAGTGACCGATCAATCCTGCTGCCTCTCATCATCGGCCTGATCCTCCTCGGCCTCCTCGCCCTGGTGCTTGTTGCCTTCTGCATTGTTCGGAGACGCCCACCCACCTACCAACCCCTCTGAGCATCTGCCCCAGCCCCCAGGGCACCCTCATTTCCTCACCGTGCAACTGACTCAAAGACAAAGTCATCTTCCTTCCTTTTCTTTCTTGAAGAAGAAAAAATAGAGATAATGCAATTGGGAGGGAAGAGGGGAGAGATTTTTATTAAATGTGAGATTCCCGCTCCCCCATCCCCAGCAGGAGAGTAGTGAAACCTACTCAAATCTTTGTCTTTGGTTTCCCTTGTCCCGCCAGGATTAAAAGCCATCAATTTCTTGTCAAATGCGTTTCTGTGCCTTCCATGGTTGAGTCTCAGGGAGCCAGAAACAACTGGTGGAGGAGGACAAAAATGTCAATATGTGACCAAATTCCCTCATGGGTTCACCCCCAGAGCCTGGCACAGCTGGTGGTGTGTCTGCCACTCTGTCCCTTCCTCCCTCTTTTTCTGGGACTATTGGCTGCTCCAGTTCCCTCTCTCCAGCAAGCCCTGGAGCCATCCATCCCAGAAGTCTCTTTCCTCACCCTCACACACAGTTACAGGCGCAGCAGCCAAAGCAATGAGTGGGTGGCTGTGGAATTTCATTTCCAGAGGCAGCACCAGGGGCTGCTGAGCAATGATAATGTCCCGCCCTGTCCACCATGTCCAGGGCTAGCTGAAAAAGCCTAATTAAACCTTTGCTGCACGTGGGATACTCCTAGCCCACCTGCGACAGGCTGCATCAACCACAGGAGCATTAGGTACTTTGACCTGCACACTCAATTGCCCTCTGTGCTCCTGGGAACAGCATGCCTCCCAGCTTGGGTCACCGACCCAACCAACCCTGATGTTCCCAGTACCTGATTGGGGTTGAGGGGGCAGGCAGTGTCACTCCCGGGGAAGCTCCCTGCCTTTTTGAGAAACGGCCTCCCACATGGCCATAATCTGCACCACTACTGAGTACCAGTCCCCTTCTTTACAGCAGGCTGTGGCGCAATCGCTGGGAGCTAGGATGAGCGCGAACCAGCTGTAGGTCTCAGAAAGCCTGGAGACGCGCCCCACTAGGGCAGCCCCACCGCTACCTGTAGACATCCCCTATGACCTTGCAAACTGCGGAGCAGGAACCACCCGAGGGCTGCTACATAGCGGGATGGCGCAACCTGGGTTGGCGTCCTAGCGCTTGGCGGCGTGCAGCACTGAGTAATGGAAGGTGCCCTCTCCCAAGCAGAGCTGCTGGGCCCACTCGGCCTCACTTAAGTCCTTGCTCAGCACGTGGTGTGCACTCCGGCCAGCGGAGTGGGGGAGAACCCAGGGCTGCCACGCCAGGCCAAAGCCAAGGGATGCCCCCGCCTGGGCTTCACAGAGACTGCCAGCTCTGCGCCCTAAGTGGTGGCTCAGGGGCTGCCTCCTCCCCGGCTGGGCTCGCCTCCCCCACCTCCTCTGCTTCACTGTCCCGGGCCCAGTAGTTGCTGGTGCACCCATCTTCCAAGGTGGGTGCGCGCGGCCCGGTGCCTAAGGAGAGCTGCCCAGTGCAGACTGTCCTGCTCGCGCCGGCGCTGTTCCCTCTGGAGACGCCGAGAGAACGGGAGAGAAAGAGCTACAGGCGCCCCTCCTCAACGCCATTTTGAAACTAACGTTCCTTCTCTCTAAACTTCGAACAACATATAAAGTTAGCTGCGAAAAGGCAAGATGGCGCCTCGCGGGAGGAGCGGAAAAAGGCAGGGGAATAAATCTCGCTTCTGAACTGGAAGCGTAAACAAAGGCGCGGAAGGTCTAACAGCGCAGGCGTACAGCTTTACAATGCGGACAACGAAATGCTTCCAAAACGTGCTCTCTGAATGAGACCTATTTTATGCTATTGGGGTGGCGGAAGAAAGAGCAGAGAATAGTGGGCGGTCCAGCTTCGTCGCGGGAAAAGAACAAGAGGCGGAGTGCCCGGGGCGCGCACGCGCACTGTAAGGCAATGGCGGTCTGTAGAGACTGGCGGAAGTTAGGTTTGCAATATGGCGGCCGAGGCAGACGGAGTGTTCAAACGGGCGCTAGTACCGATTCTTTTACCTGAGAAATGCTACGACCAACTTTTCGTCCAGTGGGACTTGCTTCACGGTGAGTTTTATTCAGCACTGGATCCAAGTCCTGCGCGAACAACCGCGAACCCTAGGTCCGAAGCGTGACTGCCGACTAAATGACAGCGGTGACTTCTGCCATGCCGAGCTAGGCGGAAGTCACTTCTGAGAGGGGCGGAAGTGTCTCTCTCTCCGTAGAGGGAGGACGCCATATTTGGGCAAGAGGGGAAGTCTGAAGTACTTCTTTGTGAAATTTGAGCTTATCGACAATGAGAAACGAAAAGACTCAGATTTTACAAAACAAAATAAAAATCAGGTCGACTCATTTCAACCTATATGAGATCGCTAGCAGGGTTAATTCAAAGCCCCTGGTGAATCAGGCCCTCATTGGCACCCCCAAAGGCTTTTGCCACACTGATTGCTTTCTTTCCAGTCTCCACGTTTCCTCATCGTCTAATTTTGGAATAATTTGCCTTCCTTCCTCATTGTATTTGCGGAGCAATTCTACAGCAATGTCCACCTCAGACATCAGACCCTTTGGGAAGCCGTCTCGGTCTGCCCCTCTCAGTTCATGGTGCCTCCCCTGAGCTCGTGGGGCACTTTTTTAGGCACATTCATGATCTGTGAGAGTCTGACTCCCACTGGCCCAAGCTCCTTGAGGGGCAGGCTTCAAGGGTAGAGAAGTTGTGGGTGGGCAGGGCATAAAAGCAAGTCCTGGAAAGGTAAAGTCCCTGAGTAGGGGACCAGAGACAATCAGAGGGTTCAGGAATGAATGGTATGGAGGTCTGTCTTTGGAGAGAGAAGACAGGTGAAGTGGGCTGCCCAGGTGCCCAGAGGAGGGAAATAAAGGGTCAGAGGAGTCTTGGGCATTGCTCAGCTTTATACAGGGAAGCAATGGAGAGTCTTGGAAGTCAAGCCAAGGAGTTGAGATGTTAATTTGTAGGGAATGGAAGATTGGGTGGGAGGGAAGGCATTGTGCTAAAAGCTATTTTAGAAAGTAACCTAGTCTGAATATGAGATGGTTTGGAGCAGGAAGGACCAGGCATTTTGTCCTTCGCCCCAGACAACACAAGACTTCCTTTCAGGGTGGTGGAGGTGAGGGGGTGGGGGCGGCCCATAGGAGCACTTCAGGCCCTGGCCTGGATTTCGGAGGAATCCTCTCTGCTTAACCCTTTTTTTTTTTTTTTTTTTAGACAGAGTCTCACTCTTTTGCCTGGGCTAGAGTCAGTGCCGTGGCGTCAGCCTAGCTCACAGCAACCTCAGACTCCTGGGCTCAAGCGATCCTTCTGCCTCAGCCTCCCGAGTAGCTGGGGCTACAGGCATGCGCCACCATGCCCGGCTAATTTTTTCTATATATTTTTAGTTGTCCGATTAATTTCTTTCTATTTTCAGTAGAGACGGGGTCTCGCTCTTGCTCAGGCTGGTCTTGAACTCCTGAGCCCAAACAATCCGCCTGCCTCAGCCTCCCAGAGTGCTAGGATTACAGGCGTGATCCACCGCGCCCGGCCTGCTTAACCCTTTTTGTCTTCTCAGTCCCCTGCCTCAAGATTCTGCTCAGCAAAGGCCTGGGGCTGGGCATTGTGGCTGGATCACTTCTAGGTATGTATCTTTCTTTCCTGCTGTTGGGATGAGTGGGGGAGGTGCTGAGAGGCCATGGAGTGTATGGGTCCCTTAACTGAAAGTGGGATTAACATGCTTCCCAGTCACTTCTGTAGCTGTTCTTGCACCCCTAAGGAATGGAGGCTCCTCAACCCTGCCCTTCTCATCCTTTCCCCAGTAAAGCTGCCCCAAGTGTTTAAAATCCTGGGAGCCAAGAGTGCCGAAGGGCTGAGTCTCCAGTCAGTAATGCTGGAGTTAGTGGCATTGACTGGGACCATGGTCTACAGCATCACCAACAAATTCCCATTCAGGTGAGGGGCCCACCCAGGGGAAGGGCCCACCCTTCCCCAAGGGTATGCGCCCACAACTCTAATGGGGGTTAAAGTGAGGGAGGTAAAGGGGCAGGAAAGCTTAAGCCCTTTAAGAAATCTAATTGTCACCAATAGAGGTGATGAGGAGGTGAGCATCTCAAGAATGCCCCGGGTCCAGAATGAGTGGGGCTATGGAGGACAAAGAGTAATTAGAGAATTGTGTCCCCAGGTAGATGGGCTATGGAGGCTTTCCCTGGCTCTTTCTAGGCCCACCTTTATTCCTTCCAACTCTTGACTCTTCAGCTCTTGGGGTGAAGCCCTGTTCCTGATGCTCCAGACAATCACCATCTGCTTCCTGGTCATGCACTACAGAGGACAGACTGTAAAAGGTGCAGAGGATTTACCTAAGAGCAGCCTGTGCTGGCTCCTGGGAACCCACTGGGAACTTAGGCCTGGGGAAGCTGGCGGACATTGAGAGGTTGATGAGGACTCCTTGTCTCCCCAACCCACAGGTGTCGCTTTCCTAGCCTGCTACGCCCTGGTCCTGCTGGTGCTGCTTTCACCTCTGACACCCTTGGCTGTAGTCGCCCTGCTCCAGGCCTCCAACATGCCTGCTGTGGTGGTAGGGAGGGTAGGTACCAGGAGCAAGGGGAAGGATGTTGGGAGGAGGGCAGGGTGCAGAGGCAGAGAAGAAGGCCAAAGTGTGGGGGTGTTGGACCAAGGAGAATGGGGAAATCAGTGATGGGAGCATGGGAAGAGTTCAGATGACAGAACCAAAAGTCTCAATTTCTCCCCTAGCTGCTCCAGGCAGCCACCAACTACCGCAATGGGCACACGGGTCAGCTCTCAGCCATCACAGTCTTTCTGTTGTTTGGGGGCTCCCTGGCCCGAATCTTCACTTCCATTCAGGTGAGCGCAACTTCTTCCCTCTAGAAAGCACTAAAACCTCATCTTACCTTTCCAGCTAAGAGCTAAAGCTGCCCCCTCTCTGGAACCTTTGTCCCTAGGGGAACCTTTCTTGGGCTATGCTGAAGGGTGACCCTGGTTCTGTCTCTTATAACCAGGAAACTGGAGACCTGCTCCTGGCTGGAACCTTTGTTGTCTCCTCCCTCTGCAATGGCCTCATTGCTGCCCAGCTCCTCTTCTACTGGAATGCAAAGCCTGCCCACAAACAGAAAAAGGTGCAATAGGGCTGAGCCAGCTACTGGAGTCATTCCGTGTTTCCATTTGCCCATCCAACCTCAGGGTCCTCCCCATCTGAGCCAGTCTGCTGGTGTGACTTAATCATCCTCCATTCCTCTGCAATTGCACCTTGAGCCAGGGTTTGCTTTTAGTGAAAATGGATAGTTGGTGGACCCAGATCCTTAGAAAAGGAGAGAACAGAGGCGGAGTCTTTTAAACTGTCATTCTGACATTGGAGTGCTTTTCTAAGTCCTGGACCTGTACTATTAATCATTTGGCTGAAACTCCTTTAGCAGCAATTTCCAGCTGTTTAACACTATTCTGGACAAATGTCTTACCCTGTCCTCCCATCTCCCCACTCCCCTTCTGTCCTTCGAGGACAAAGCCTGGACTGTGAAATGGAGGGACTAGGGGCTGTGGCTGCCTCCCTCCCCAGCCTGGCTGGAACTGTCTCCTGGACTCCAGTGCTGGGGGCGGGGAATGACTCAGGCAGGGCCCCAGGGTGGGGTGAGGAGGTTCTTGCTCTGGCAGGTCCAGGCGGAAAGGAGTGGAGACGGGACTAGTTCCTGCTGCAGTTGCAGTGAGGGGGAACAGTGATGGGACAATAAAGACTCAAGAGACGTGATTTAGTCATACAAAACTGTGTTTAGTCCTACAAAAAAATATATAAGTTGTGTGTTCTCCCTGGTTCCCGTGGGATGAGTGCAGGCCACCTCTGAACTGTAGCTTGCAGCCTGGGAGTAGGGGATGGTTCTGAGTGAAAAAGGAGAATGCAACGGCCTTACTGGGAGGTCCATGTCCGTGAGGGTTAGAGGTGGGTTAGGGGCATGGGGGCATCAGAGAGGGGAGGATTGTACGTAGTGGGAGAGCCTGGGGGCAGGTAGGGGCTGTAGGTGGGGAGCAGCTCCCCCTGGAGCCTAGGGTCACTCTGAGGGAGGGAGCATGGCGAAGGGGCCTCCGGTTTACAGTGGGAAGAGCTGCAGAGAGAGAAACACGGGGTTAGAGGGTGCTTCCTTGGGTTCAGGTGCAGCTCCCAAGTGGGGGATGAGTCTGACCAATTCTGGGCAGACAGGGGGTAGGACTTGCCTCCCACCCAGCCCTGGCTGTCCGGGCCGCTGGGTACAGCAGACATGGAATCAGACCCAAGGATGGCTTACACTCTTAAGAGAGTGTGTGGCCCTGTTGGGGCACGCTTATTGCGTGCTGTGCAGCTGTTTTCCTCGTTTTCCTGGGGCAGCAGGCCAGGAAGGGGCAAAATGGGCTTGGCCTCTCCTTGCCCCGGAGGCTGGGAAAGGAAGCCTGGTCACACATAGGCCAGAAGCAGGGGGAAATAGGGCGTCCAGATAGCCAGAACACAGTCACGTCCAGGGGTCTGTCATCTGTCCCTGCAGGGCCGCCACCTCCAGGTTGAGATGGAAACGCCTCCTGGGAAAACCCTTACTCACTCCACTCTACACAGGGCCCTGGGGATACAAGGGAAGGTGCCCACCAAGCCTCAGCCAGAGCAGCCTCAGCTTGGATGGGCTCAGGTCCCCCTCCAGCCAGGCCCTGGGGCATCGCCCCCACCTAGGCTCCAGGAGAGAGCCAAAGCGTCTCCTTCCTCACCCCGCTCCCAGGCACTCACCCGTAGCTGCCGGGCAGGTAGGCTGTCGGGTAGTTGGGAGGTCTGTACCCAAAGCCTCTGCTCGCTTGGGTGGTCGCGTACCCTGGCCCCCAGAGAGGGCTGCCGCCGGCCAGGCTGCCTCTTCCCTGGCTGAAGTGGGGAGCTCCAGCGCCCGAGCTCTTGGCCTTGCGCCGAGGTCGGTACTTGTAGTCGGGGTAGTCGCGTAGGTGACGTGCGCGGAGCCGCTTGGCCTCCTCCACGAAGGGCCGCTTCTCGTCCTCACCCAGCAGCTTCCACTGCGCGCCCAGGCGCTTGGAGATCTCCGAGTTGTGCATCTTTGGGTTCTGCTGCGCCATCTGGCGGCGCTGGGCGGAGCTCCACACCATGAACGCGTTCATGGGCCGCTTCACCTTCTCCGGGGGGAGTCCTCCAGGGACCACAGGGCTCCCCGCGCCCTCTCGCTCCTGGGGTCCCGAAGATGAGGAGGCAGCAACCGTGGGAGCCGGAGGCTCCAGGCTCCAGGCCTGGTCCTGGGAGGAGCTGGGTAGCGCCATGGGTTGGAGGAAGCTTTAAGAGGGCGTCCTGAATGCCCTCCCCTCAAAATGAGGCGTCGACCCTGAAAATGCAAGTGTCTTCCCAGTCTGGAGTCGTTGCAGAGGAACTCAAGTCCTTAAAAAGTATATATCATCCCCAAGTCCAGACTTTAAAACGGAGCCTTTGCTCCCAACCAATTCGGCACAGTTTGGAGACAGTCGAATGTAAAATCCGCTGCGTCTGATACCCGTACTGGAGAGGTGCTCTCCTTTCCTCCTTGCCTCGAGGTCTACCGACTGGGAGACCACCGTCCCTCTCCCCCTCCCCACAGGTACCACCAAACCGACCTTCAGAGGAGGCGGCAAACCATAAACCTTCCCTTTGTCTGTCGTCTCCAGAGTCCCTGGACCTCTCCCACCTGGGCTCAGCGTCTGTGGCTGGCGGGCCAGACCCGGGAACAGCTTTAAAAGGCTGACTCCTCCCCAGTCCCTCCCACAAGACTGTGCCTTCTTAAGGGCGCCAACATCCCCCCCCTTAGGCAAACCCAGGTGTCCTGTGTCTCAGCCCCCAACACTCCCCCTGAGGGTACCACACCCCCTCCCCACCCAAGACCTAGATGTTAGGCCTTCCAGCCCCGGTTGTCAGGATTGTCTCCCCTCCCTTCTTAAGCATTGGCAATTTAAAGCCAATTCCTTTCCACCAAGGGATCAAATGCCCTCAGGGTCACCTGTTGTGCTCGGAGGAACTTGGGAACATCCCACCCCCACCCCCCACCCCAACTCCTTTCATGGTGACTATAGCTCCTCAAACCCGGGACCTGCCCTTGGGGCAAGAAAGTCAGGCTGAGGGAGGTAGGCCATTTTTGTTTCCTGAGTCATTCCAGCAGGTGCTTGCGCTGTGATTCAACCCCTTTCCCCAGGTGAGAAAACTTAAGCCCTCCTAACTCTGGCTCTGGCCAAAACCTAGATTTCTCCACAGCCATTGAATTATGGCAAGTTTTATCTTCCAACCTACAAATCAGGAGTGGGAAGCCAGGAAACCCGGGACAACTCCCAGGAGCTGAGAAGTCTGTGATGTGGATGCTGGAGAAAAAGCCTGAAGCCAAATCAGAACACCAACAAGAAATGAGGGCTGGACACCAGGGTTCCAGAGGCTAGCATGAGGGAACCCTGCTCCCTCCTCTGCCCAAGGCCCAGCCCAAGCCCCAGGCCTCAAGTAATCGGATTAAGCAGCCTGCCTTGGCTCTCAGCTTTTAGCAGGAACAGCTCCAGCTCTGAGCAGCCCTGCCTAGCCCGCCCTGTGACTCAGGGTATAGGAGTGGCCCAACTCCCTCTACTAGCAAACCTGGGGGAGGGGAGAAGCAACGAGGCACATGCCACCCTCCTCTGGACCAGGAGGGTACCTGGGACTGGGGAATTTAGGAATGTCAGGAATTCCCAGAAGACAGACCACCTTTGGAACACTAGAGAAGGAGGACAAGCCAGGTATGGAGGAAAAGAAAACAAGAGCCAGGGGCCAGGCAGGTCAATCCTAGAGAAACAAACGACCAAACTGGGGACAAGGAAGGCACAGGAAGCAGAGAGCCATTTGGATTTTTTTATTCTCTTTTTAAATACTGTACAGTGAAAAATAAATACGCCTTCTCATCCACCAGACAAGGTTGGTCCCGCCTCCCCCTGGGGGACCTTGTCACCTCCCTTCATACATACCCCTGGTTCTAATCCAAAACCTTCCCCATGCCTCCCACCCACTTATACCCTTACTATCCCCGTCTTCCACAGTGATGAGGCCCCAGAAATGGGGGGTACAGGATGGGAGGAGGGATAGCAGGGGAGCCCCCCTGAACTGTCAAATCTGGGTGAGTCAAAGAGCACCCCCCACCAACAGGTGGAGAATGGGGGTGTTCAGAGAGAGATTGGGGCATTAGAGGATAAAGGCACATCCAGTCTGATGGGGAAGGAGAGAGGCTCCCCTTACCCTGGGGTAGGGTGGACAAGAGGGAGGGGGGTATGACCCTGTTACACACCCCTCCAATAGCTCCTGGAGGTTGTGGGGGGGACCCAAGCTGCTGTGCCACCCCCCTCCCCCCTAGATAAGAGCAGCTCCAGCGCAGGTCAGTTGGGCCTGTGAGGGCCATGGTGTTGGGCAGCAAGCGAGATGGAGAAAGGAGGGATGCGGGCTGGAGGTTTTATGAAACCCCATTCACCAAACTACCCAACTCCAGGGGGGCTGAGAGCTCCCCATTCTCCGAGGGGCCCTTAGGAAGCTTGCTGACAGAGTCACCCTGAGGGGGAAGTGGGAAAGAAAACCAAGAGAAAAGAAAGCAGATGGTCAGTAGAAATTCAGATGGATGATACTCCCCCTGCCATTGAAACCCTCCTGGCATCTGGTGATCCAGGGGTTGGTTCCCTGATCCTCATGCTCCAGTCACTCTTCCTGGGATCCAGAAAATGTGAGCCAAACTTGCCTCTTTAGTCTATGCAAAGTGTGCACTGTTCTAAATGCAATCTAAATGCCATCAGACACAGCTACCTCTGCAATTCAGTGAGGGATTTCTTTAGGAATTTTTTTTGTGCCCTCTGCCCCAGAATAACAACAAAAAAGGGATGGGGTAAACCACACCTTGCCTGCCTACCTTTTGTCCTGAAAGAGAGTCCTCTGAGGGTTTAGTGCGTTCCAGGGGTGGCCGCTGGCGGCTCTGAGATTCTGCTCGTGAGATATAGTCAGCCACAGTCACTGGGGAAGGCAGAGGATCGAGTTTCAGAAGGAACTCCAGTATCGAGCCCTACACAACCATTGAACCCCAACCCTGGTTTTCATAGGGTAGGAGGGATCCCATTCTCTCAGCTCTGAGGAAGAATTCTGGTGTCCAGTGTTAGCTGACCTGGCTGGCGGTCTCCACTGATAGAACCATCAGTCCGGTTACCACGGTTACGGCGGCGGCGGCTGCGATTACGACGTTGGGGTCTAGATTCATCTTCTGTTAGGGAAAAACAAGTCACACATCCAGTCTCCCATCCCTCAATTCTTACCCATCTCT